AGTGTTACTAGCTTTGTTTTGGTGGTATTGAATATTACAAGACAGTTTTGCCCCCATTTAGCTGTTAGGGCTCAGCCAGAAAAGAGATTTAGGAGGTTAAATGTTTACATGTTTGTGTGTATTTTAGGTGAATGTGTGTGTTCAATATGAAGAAGATGAAATCATACAAAAACTTGAGTTTCTACAATGGATGCTTATTTTTTTAAGGTGACTGTATGAATAATTTCTTTTTGGTCCAGAAATTAGTTTAGTGCCATGTGTCAGCAAGTGGGAAGCAAGTTTTGTCATCAATTTACCAGGGTCAGCGGTTACTGATATTCCTCAATGGGAACTTAATTACCATGTGGTTCACATCAGCAAAGAGGAGAAAGAGAGTGAGGCAAGAAATGTTAATAGTTAGTGGCTCAGAATGTGAAGTTGATGAACTGGGTTCAAATTCTGGTCAAGTTTGTTATATACCCTTTTGCACAAATACCACTGAAAAATTAGGAATCCATTTTTTTCTCCACAAAGCTAGAGGATAAATAGCAAGGCAAACTGTGCTCTCTAGCTTTGTTTGACTCCCCATACAGAAAGAAAATTCTTAATTCAAAACTCAGCCACTTGAACTTGTGCAAAGATGTGAGTGCAAATACTATGCCTATAAAACAAAAACATGATAGATTGAAGATCCCATCGGAGAAGGAATATCTAGAAAGATGTCAAAGTAGGTTACTTCCTGTTTCCCTCAGCATTTTTTTTGTTTTGGTATAACCTGTGAGTGTTAAATTCTCCAAACCTTTTTCTTCCTTGTGTTTCCAAAATTTTAAATCTTTCTTGAGTGCATCAGTTTCTTTGTATTTCCTATTCTTCAAAATTTTTTATTTATCAGGTTTGCTCATTGTGTTTTCAACAATGGTCGATACAAACATATGTTAGTCAATTCCCAATTTATTTACACTATTTGCATTGTTCAGACTGTTGTCCCTATCTTTATTACCATATTCACAACGTTTTGGCCATTGTATGCTCTGGCCTTCTTCAGGTGATTGGAATTTTGAGCTGAACCTTTTATTCCATCCACCTGAGTAGATTGTTCTAGTTCCATGTGCCAGGCCTCTCCAGATAACTCTGTATCAATTATTTCTCAACTCTCCAAGTTTTCTTCACCTGTGCTGTAGCTGGGTATTGAACTCACAACTCTTTGGGTCAAGTCATTGGATTACTTCAACCAAAGCTTTATCCACTGTGCCATGTGTCCTTGAGGAATTCCTGCTTTTATTGAATTCTCGATAATTCACCGCCAGATAGGCATTAGTTTTTCCTTTGTTTTTAATGATATTCTTCTTCAATAATCATATACAACATGTAGATATATATGGCGGCCTTTTATTGTGAATATTATAATCTATTGAATTTTATCATTTCCAATTACTAATACATAAAAGTTTTATGCTTGTTTAATGTTGTTGGCTATAACTTGTATAATCCCAGGTCTTTGTTTTTATTAGCAATCAACTCTGAGCAATTTTCATTGTTTATTCCTTACTGACTCTTTGCAGAATATAGAGGTGATACTTTCGTAGTTTCATTAGCAACGAGATAGATTATCTAGCTGCATTCCCAACTCTCCTCCTTTACTCAGCCTCGGTTTGATTTAAAATTGTCTGTCTGCTGGACTCATTACAACCCCCAGAACCAAATCTTCCTTACTGTTTTACCAAGAGCTAAGAAAACATTGTTTCATGCCTTTCTAGAGGGCATTTGTGTAAAGGGAGTACAGTCTTGTTGATTTTCTAAGCAGGTAATCCTTAGATTGTGGTGAGCATGAAATAATAATAATACTCTTTACCAACTCCCTCCAAATTCTGGCAAGCTGAGAAAAAAGATGGAAAGAAATTCATAAGCCTATGTGAAATTTTCTTTAGACTAATGAAAACCCTGTCTTTACAGAGATTCGCCAGTGGGCTGACAGAAATAAATTTGGGAGCCTATGTGAAATTGATTTTGGACCAATGAAAACCTTGTCTTCACAGGAATTAGCTGTTGAGCCAACTCCCACTGCCAGGCTTTATCTTTATAAGGATCAGATCAGACCCAAAACAGATGTCTCTGGGCTGATACTGCTCAATCCTCACTGTCCAGCCTTGACAAAAGTATAAATGCAGTCTTGTGAGTTATGAATTATCCTCCGCCTTATTCCGGAGACAAAACGTCACAAGCCTTTCACTGCTATATTGCTATTACTATTGAATGAGTTGCATTTTTTAGTGACATCAGCTTGGATTCTTCACAGCTAGGAGCTGTCATGTCAGGTTCATGGTGACAAACCATCCACATTCCTTTTATGTTCTTTGATAAAAGTAAGTTTCACTCAGACAGCTTCCCCAGAACTGTTACTTTGTGGAACAAACTCCAGAGAGAATGCTTCCCTGATAACTAAAATCTTGGTTTCTTTAAGTCCAGGGCCAACTGATATCTACCCTACTCTTCCTCCTCATAATACTCTCTTCCTTCCTTCTTCCTGAAAATTTGACTCAGTCACCTTCTACCTTGAGTGGGATTGGGCCTTTTATTGGATGAATTATCATTAAATAAAAAAAGATATTTACACCAATTTGTTTGATGGTAAGATATGTAACTCAAGGATTGTTTATTTTATTGTAAATATATTAGACAAAAGATCTTTTTGGGAACCAATCATAGTGATTGATTGGGTGAACAGTTTTCTATGGTTTGTCAATCCATTGTAGGTTATTTAAAGCCAGAAAATATTTTTAGATTGTAAGCAATTTTTTTAAGGGTTGGGAAGATGATAATGGTTTAGTCATAAAAATCTTACTAATTAACCCATTGCTGAGGGGGAAAATGGATTCATACCTTTCCCAATGTTATTTGCACATAAGTGAATATAACAAACAGAACAGGATATGCAACTTGGCTCTCTGATTAACAATTCCAAGTCATTATTACACTACATGCACCTCCAAGCTTACAGTACCTGGTATTCCCAAGCAGTTACCCATCTAGATACTGACCAGGTTTGATGTTGCTCAACCTCAGTGATCATATGGAAACCGGTGTTTCAACATGATATCGCCACATACCCAATCATAATAATGAGTGTATTAACCTAACCATTCTATAACTTGTGGTGAAAGATTTCACATATGACAATGTTCAATACAGAAACCAGTGGAATGACAAGGATAAATCTCCACAAATGACTCCAAAAGCTGTGCTCCGTGGGGGAAAGGTAATATTGTGCATGTGGTGATACTGTTGGAGTATTATTCATTTAGAATTCTTAAGATGCAATGAAATGCAAAATGCACAGTTATACATCCAGCAGCTGCAATGTGTCCATAAACGGTTTGTTACAAATTGCCCTGCATTCATAGAGGAAAAATGTTCTTTACGACAATGCAGTGCTGAATGTAAAAAAAAAAAAATTAGAACTCAGTTTGTCTGTTCCACCCACAAAATTCACCTAAACTTGCACCAACCAATTATTACCTCTTTTTTAATTGCTTCAAAATACTTTAGATGGGGAAAATTTTCTCTAAAGTAAAACCAGATTCAAGAGTTTGCTGAAAACATATTCACATCAAAATCTGTAGAATTTTACTTAGTTCTCAGAGGTTTTGTGATGTTTGACCAAAACTTCAATTTGGGCCAAAATTTGAGTTTTTCAAATCACAAAGTCTGTTGAACTTAAAAGTTCCACAGAGTTTGTGATTTGAAGAAATCAAATTTTGGCCCAAATTGATTATTTTGACTGAAATTGGAATTAAGGCCTGAAAAATAATTAAAGTGAGGTTTTGAAGTTCCATGGAATGAATTGAAGAATTCAGAGTTATTTCTTCAAAATTCTCATTGCTATTTTCTAAGATGGATTAGAGGTTCCCTTTACCAATCAGCCCTCCACAGGAGCTTGCTTAAAAGCACACACAGAGTGTAGCTTTTAAGCTATTTTCTAATAAAAAAAATATGAACTAAAATATGCATGGTACACTTATCATATAAAAATATCCTGATAATTTTGCCAATATTAGTTAGACATTAGCAATTTTACTGCAAAATCATTGACTTGAACAATAAAATCTGCACTATGTAAATTTCACCCTAACTTTATTTTGCTTGTATATACATAAACCCAGCCTAATTTCCACAACAACTAGTTAATCCTCTGATCCATTTCCTTTTTTCTGACCCCCAAGATGTGAAAGAGATTAAAAGACTTTTTCAATATCATTCTCTTCTGGCTTCTTGCTTTCCAGTCAAATGAGCAAAATCACTTATCTTCCTTCCTCTTCAATTCTGTTCTTTTGTTGTTCTCACTCCTTAATAATGCCTTTTTTATATTCTTTCACACCTCATACTGCACTGCATGTTAGTGGCTCTGTTGCCTTGCTTGGGATGAAATGATTAAAAAAAATGCAAACAACTGGTGATATTTGTGGTAATTTTAACTCATAATACTTGTAACAAGTGGAGTCAGTGAATGGCTTGAGAGAACGAACAGTGCCTGAAGACTACTGTGGTATAATTAATTCGACAATGGGCATATTGGTATTTGCCTGTGTCTAACCATAATACCAATTCAAAATTTATTAACTGAAACAAATAAATGTAGATCTTCCCATTGATAAATCGGAGGAGTTGAAATCTCTGAAAAGGCATCAATTGTTGCCATTATCCAGAGTCTCCAAGAGAAGGAAGCATTGTCTGTAGCAATGATTAATGAAACATGACAGCTTCTGTTTGTTATGAGCAGTTCCCAAATCATGAACTGGCCTCCACTAGACACAGGCCACTTCCCCTGCTGACATGTGGTTAGCTCAACAGTTTATAGAAAGGAGTAGTCTTTCATAAGAGATGCTTACAAATTAGCTGCATACAATCAAAAACTATTGCAATGAGTAATAATTAAATTCGACAAGAAATGGTTGTATAAATTATAAACATAATCACAGAGGATGACCATTAAGTCCTAGATCGTTATTGGCCTTTTCTTCATTAGTACTGGTTCCCATACAGTCACAGAATTTAAGCAACATTGAGCCTATCCAGTACGTAGATGGGTGACCATTTGGGAATACCAGGTAGTGGAAGCTTGGATGTATTGGCAGTGTAATGGATATTGGCTTTGAATTGTTAATTGGAGAGCCAAGTTCTAATTTTAGTTGGGTTTGTTATATTCACACATGCAAAAACCCTTGGGAAATGTATGAATCCACCTCTTATCTCCTGACCAGATATGGATTAATTAGTAAGACTTGTATCGCTAAAATATTATCTCCACCCAATCTAAAAAATTCTTGCAATCTAAAAATGATTTATTGGCATCAAATAACCTACAAAGGTTTGATAAGCTGTAGAAAATGTTTCACAAAAAGAGATTTTACTTATGAGATATAATTACAACATAATAAACAATCCTTGAGTTGTATTATAAAGTCTTACCACCAAATAACTTAGTGTAAATATCTGTCCGTCCATGTGTCTGAAACCCCTCTATATAGTCATATTATACCTTTTTGGAATCAGGATGATCCTGTGAACAAAAGTCTGGTGCTTGAATTTTTACCGCTTTTCTTCCCCAGCTATGGGTTAATTAGTAAGACTTGTATCACTAAATCATTATCTCTGTCTACATCCCTAAAATTCTTAGAGTATCTTCTGGATTTAAATAACCTGTGAAGAGTTGATAAGCTATAGAAAATGAATTGATCAACACCTGAGTAATCATGTTTCTTTAAAACTTTCTATATTTTATTTTGCTCTTGGCAATTTTATTTATTTTACTCTTGTTCACATAGTACAAGTCCTAAAAGCCATTCAAAACAGAGAGTTATTGAATTTGGCAATTAGGCTAAATACTAGTTGCTTCAAAATTTTAAGACTGTATTTAAACAAAACTTTAATTGATAAATTTAGAAATTGAGGCGAATAAAGAAAACAGCAACCAGTGAGTAAATTCAAGCTCTCCCAGCTGGTATTTCAACCTTGAGTCGTTCCTTCTTGAGTTCTGTCTCAAAATCACACTCACTGACTGTTCTTGCCACCAACCGTGAACGTCACTCGAAAACTGCCCCACTTGGAAAAAAGTGGTTGCTTTTATATTTGTCCATATACCCATAATCCCTTGCGTCTTCATGTGATCCCATAATTCATTGCGTCCATGTCTCATAATGCATTGCATCTTTATTGCATAAAAATGCAATGCAAGTCCCCCTCATTATTTTCGTTATCTGGCCAAGGACGGATTACGGCAGAGCAGTAAGTGCTTTTTTTCTCCCTCATTTCAACTGCAGTAGCTTTACATGCTAAGCAAATATGGGCTCTTTATTAGTGGGGACAAGGCAAGTCGCGACCTGTTGTGCTCGTCCCAGGTTCTGTCTCATGTCCGCCACAGAAATTTAGTTGTTTGTGTTCAAGGGTTAACAGAGACAACATCTCTCACTTCTATATTCTGCATTACATTAGGTAAAAACATGGCAATGGCTAAAAAATTTGACATAGTTTGAACATGGCAGAATTGTTGAGATGCAAAAGCAAGGTTTCTTTCAACGTGCCATCACTAGTGAGACTGGACATAGTAAAACTGCTTTTGGAAATTTCTTAACACTCTGAGGAATATGAAACAAATATTTGAAGTGGTTGGTCCAAGAAAATTTAATCGGCATTAAGCAGGCAAATTGAATGGGTTGTACAACAAGATATCAACTTATAAAGTAGCTTAAGCCCCTCACAGATGCAGAATTCAGCTGAAAACCAATAGGATGTCATATCGGAAATGTCTTCAAAATCCATACCTCTTTCCACACCTAAAACACATTGGTTAAACTTTATTGAGAAGTGTCAAACATGGGACATAGAAAAGTGGAAAAGTGTTTTGTTCTCTTATGAGAAAAAAATTTAATAATGATTGTCCATATGGCTTCCATTGTTACTGGCATGATAAGGATATCCCACCAGTGATATGTTCCATCATGATCTCCTTCCAAATAACAATGGCCTTTCAGTTTATGTAAGGGTGTCAAACCATGTCTGCTAACATTGGCATGTTAGAGAGAGCATTCTTATTGATTGAAAGCCCTTGCATATGTAGAAATAACTGGATCTTTCAGCCAGACAATGCTGCAATCTATAATGCTTGCATGGTAAAAGACTTTTTGATGGTGAATAATGCGATTCTTTTGGGCTATCCAATATGTTTGACTGAAATGAACTCCATTGAAAATGTTTTGGCTACATGGCAAGGGAAGTCTAAAGAAAGAGGCATAAATTCCAGTGCATGATCTTCATGAAGCCATCTTTCCCACTTGGAATAACATTACAGCCATCCTTCTGCAGATGCTTATATTGACCATGCCAAACTGAATTCTTGAAGTTATTCACAATGAGGTCTGTGACACATTTTCGGGCATTTCCTAGCCTTTTTATAACTTCCTTTAGGTATGTTCTTAATCTTTTGAGCAGCTAGTATGTCGCCTAATTTCTCAGTATTCAAATTTTCCCTATTAAATACTGAAATAAGTTTTTAATTTTTATTTTTCCTTTTTGGGGAGATCTACTCAAATAACTGGTTGAGTTGAACCACATAAAAGGTATTTTTGTTTTTTTTGATTGGTGTTTTTTGGACAGCAATATATGCATGTAAGATCATGGTTAACCCTAGATTTGAACAGGTTAAGACTGTATTTAGATTTTTATAGTTCCTTTATTTCCTACTTTATATAGGTTAAGATTTTAGTGATTGGAGAAGAATCTTCTTGGTATTCAGTTCCACAAAGCAGTTGTTTGTGAGAAGTTACTCAAGTGGAACTTACATCTCACCAATAGAATATGAACCAGATTGGTTCACTTTGCCTTGTGTAACATGGCATTTCTTTGGAACTGGTGAAACTAAGGTATGTCATTTGTCTGAACACTTTCCAGGTATGGTAAGTATGAAATTCTGGAATGAGGAATAATACATTATTTACATTTAGTCAAATGTCTGAAATCTTGTCAGCATTATCATATTTTGGCCACTTCACTCTTTAGATTTCTTCAGGTATCTGTTAATCCAGGTAGCCTTCAAAGAATTTGAAAATGCATCCTTGATTTTAATCTATAAGGGTAGAATTTTCTTGTTTTGCTGCTCCTGTCTGGAGATAACTTGTTCTTTTTAGTACTGTTCAATTATCTGTCCAATGGCACAATAGCCTAGTGGATTGAAGCACGTTTTTGTGGATAATTGACATAGTAATTGTGAGTTCAATCCCTAGATCGGGCAGTACAGACATAGACTCATTTCAAAAGAGGGTGAGCAATAAACAAGCAGTACTAAAACAATGACAAGAAAGATATCCCTAGATATGGACAGCAGAATATAAAGAAACTTTTCTTGTAAATTAAAAGAATGGTCCAGGTTGAAATACTCTGAAGCTTACCCAGATCAACAGACACCTGAAGAGGGTCAGAGAGTAAATCGTCCAAAACATTGTGATCACAGCAACAAAGAGAACATTAGTCAGTATGTAAATAACATAAATGCTTCTCTCTGGCTGCCAAGTTACATGAAGGCGAGATTTTGAGATATTCAAAATGGCTGGATGTGTTCCAGACAGATCTCTTATAGATTTTTATGGTTTTACACTTAGCTCAAATGGCTGAGGGAGTTGTGATGTCATGCTTAATGGTGCAGAAAATGAAACAGTCCAACTGTGCTTAAGCTGTTTATATTTCGTTTGCACATTTGTGAAAGTCCTGATTCCATTTGTCTGTGTGCTTTGTCCCATTAATAAATTTTTCGGGTTTCATTGCTGGCATTCCAAGATGGTTGACAGAAGTAAGCGCATATATACAAACCACTTGACTGTAATTACCCAATCTTCTGAAGCTGTTCCTCCCATTGTCAAATTTGACAGAGTTCAATGATGTGGTGATGAGAAGAATGGAAATAGATAAGGTTTGTAGCACTAATCTCAAGTGCAAATATGATTGTAATCAGTATAATAAATTTCCGTTTTTAAGTGGAGAACTTCACATTTGAACTTGGAGTAATGGCCAGTATGGCCGATCTAGGGAACTTTGTTATTGTAAAATCTTTAATATTTCAAAATATAAAGCCCCATATGATATTCAAATATTTCTGTGCATCAGGACTGTATATTGTTTTTATTTTATAGATACCACATCATTTTCTCATAACTTATAACTACAAATAAATCCGTAACTATTTAGAGTAAGGCACCAAACCTTACTTAGGAAATATCAAAAACAGTTAAATTTAAGAACATTAAATTACCTCCACAGTTATCCATTGAAACTGCTATCAACAAAGGAAAAAAAAGAAGCCAGTTCCCACCCGTGGACCATTTAAAAGACAGTTCACGCAATTACAAACATCCAATCAGTGCACAGAAAACATGATCTATTTTTGTCTAATTCATTAAAAAGGCCAAAGTATCTGCTAGCATTTGATTGTGAAGGGTAATCAGAAATTGATCTCACCTGATTGGGTCGACTTGGCGATGGGGTGTATGATGTTGAAAAACCTGAAACTCCCTGATGAACCAAGTCAATTTACATCACTGACAACCTCCTTCGGCACCTACTTAAGAGCGTATATTTGAATTATGTAGGGGTATAAAATGTGCTGACTGTAACCTCTGTAGTCACCATCTGGTTGGATGCTTCTAATTCTATGTGCTGCATCTCTTCAAGGCATGGGTGATCATGGCTCTCCACAGTTTCCTGTCTCTTGTAGCACTTACTAAATTGTTTTTTGCTCTTTCTCCTAAACCCTTTTTGCCAACCATTTACATAAGCTCATTAGGCAGTTTAAGTGCTGCTTTCATGTGTCCCTGTTGCCTTCAATATTACCTTTTGAGTGTCAAGTTTGCTACACTGTCTTTCCTCATTATATGCCCTAAAAATTTTAACTCTTTCTGATGTTAAGCATATGTACCATTTTTGTTTCCATTTTCATCATTTTTCACATGTTCAGTCCATGATAGATATTTTGTTTTCCCTAAATTTTTAACTTTGTGTTTCCCTCATTTTGCACAAATGGAGTTACATCTTTTTAGTATCATCCCAATATATTGCCACCAATTTGC